AACATTCCTACCTGAAAACCAGTCAGTTGTGAGGTTGTTAGAAGGTTGTCACTTATGATCAGCAAAGATAAATTTTATTAACTGCTATTCTTGGTTGCCCAGAGGATATTGACTTACAATGCAAGGTTTAAACCTAAGTGGCCTTGTTTTCTCCTTTGAAATAACAGATAGGGTTGAAATTGACACCATTTAGTATATAACATTTCTGGATGGTAGCTGGAACAGAAAATTTTTATCTGGGGCACAGATTATTTTAATGGAAGAATACAGAGCTATTTTATAAAAACAAGTATTTTTGTGTGCCTATAAAAAATATAACACAGATCATGGGGTGTAATGATAACAATACAAACCTTCAATAATTGAGAGCCTTCTCTGTAAAGATTATCACTAACTTACCACAACTTAGGAGACAGGTGCTATTACTATGCCACTTTTAGGGATGAGACCCTTGGACTCAAGATGGCGGCAGCGTAACTGGTTAGGGTCATATATTCATAAGGGGCAGTGCTTGATGTATAGGACCCCAAAGCCCTTTCACCACCTTACCTTCACTTTAGAAATAACAGGAAAGCAGATTTCAGCTCAGGATAAGGAAACGTTTTAAAATTAAATTCTTTAAAGTTAAAATTAAAAATGAAATGGACTAAGCCACCTTGGTGAGTTCCCCTCATGGAGGTAATCATACAGGGCCGAGGGTCCTAAAGGAAAAAGTGCCTGAGGCTGGTTTTAAGGATCCTTCCAACACTGAGATTAAATGTTTATTTTAGTGCCTTGATTTTCTCATCAATAAAAAACAAGGAAAATGCTAATAACAATAGAAAGTTATTGCTAAATTACAAAATGGAATATCAGTAGCAATGGGTAAATGTATTCATTTTTTTCAAGCAAGCCAAATGAATTGTTCCCTAAAAGACTCCATTAAAAAATTAAAATTAGCTTACATTTTACCCTCATTAGATTTTCAAGCTTTTAATCAATTATCAACCAGGCCCAAATCTACCAACTGAAGGGCAAAGGGAAAATTAAGAAACAGTAAGGCAAGTCAGTAGTTGGTGATCTGTAGGTTAGATTCTGATGGTGAAGAAAATCCACTCAGTCTGATCTTTATTTATCTCAGGATTTAAACAGTAACTGTAATTGTATTCTTTGAACACCAAGTGCCCGCCCCTCCCCATACTCCCACCCTGTAGTTAATTAGCTGGGCAGGTCTTATAACAAATATCCACTCAGAAACACTGGGTGGTAGAAATGCTGTTGATAATTAAACACCACAATAGCATGGAGCCTATTTCAGGAGCTGCTGAGTGGTCTTGCCCCAGCCTGACTGCTCACCACACACTCACAGACCCTCTATTGTGCTGGCTGGGACTGCACAGACGACGGATAGTTGCTTGGCTGGAGAAAGGACCAACTGCAATAAGAGAGAAAAGACCAAACCTTGCAAACAGATCCAGGAGTTCTGCACTCAAGGGGGAGATATCCAGAGGGTGGCAGTGAAAGGGGAATGGATCCAAGAATGAAAGAAGGAAGATGTATCATAAAATAGACACAGCCTTTCCGGTTTCTATATCCAGCCAACCAAAATGAGCTCACCAATCTCGTGTCAAACATTAATAGATAGCAATGAGAAACTGCAATATATAAATAATATTTGCATCCCATTCAGTTTAGAAATTTATAGAGTTTTTTAAAGTTTTCAAGAAAATCTTGATACTCATCCCACCTTCCTGGGTCTCAGTTTCTTCATCTTAAAATAAGGGGGTTGAAAACGTTCTCATCCTGGGGTGGCAAAAATAGGAACAGGGGCCCCAGAGGGGTCAAAAAGCCTCACCTATCTTACCATTACTCAAGACCAAACTACACAGTCTAATATAATTATCATTTTTACCTGCTTTCGCTTAAAGTATATTAACCCAGTTTGTTAGGTTGATTATCTCATTCTGAACAGATGCTTCTATTGGCAGTTATATAGGTCATTAATAATAGGGAGAAAATGATTAATTTATAAGTCAGCTGATTTGGTAGTCAATAAAGAAAATCTTTCAAAAGAGAGTGTTTTATTAAGCTATTAAAAAATCCATAGGAAAAAAAATAATAAAAAGTTTGCTTGGTGAAATGGCTGGAAACCACTGGCTCAGTCAGTGCCTCTCTAACTCATGCATGGAATTACCTCTAACAGAGGCAAGTGAGTATATTCCCAAGGGCACCTGGGGACTTAGCCTGGAAAAAAAAAAGATTTCGCTTAAAAAGTTTCCCTTTTTAAGAAAAAAAAAATCTTCAATTTGGGGGGAAATTTTCCATTCTCCTCTGTAATAGAAGTGTTCCTTTTAATTCCTAAATAATGTGTTTTCACCATTATCCTCTTGGAAAATGTGATGCCCCAGGAAGATGCACGTATTCATTCTGTGGCTTTAGAGATGCCCAGTGCACCCCACCAACAACATCGCCATATTCTGCTATGTTTTAGGCACCCCAGTTTGAGAAGCACCGGGATCCAGACGACCTTGGAAAATTTAACCTGGCTGTAAAATTCTACTGATCTTCCTTGTTAGTCTATGAAGAGGCACAATGCTTTATCCTAAAGATGTAGAATCCCTCCACCCCTATGACTCAGACAGCATCAGGTCTACAGCCTAGGATGCAAGGGCAAGGGTAGAAACAAAACATGTCGTGCTAGAGAAAGCAGGAAAAATGTCAAGGGGAGCCAAGCATAGCTCACGAGAAGCTGTCCATCTGAAATGCCACCTGGAATTCACACCAGTAATAACTGTTGTGGATATAAAAATTAATAGGGGGGATTTCATAGTATTAGAAAAATTTATTTTTATAAATCATGTGTCTATCACCCAAGTGTTGACGCATGCATGCAATTCAAACATCAGGCTTACAATAAAAAGCTCACTGAATGACTTAGCAAGGACAATTCCCCCATTTTCTCTATAATTTGGAGTGGAAGAAGGAGGGGGCGAGTGGGTAGAGGGTGCAGTTACTGGGTCAATTAATCAACCTGAAAACTGTGACACAAACTCTGACGCCTAACCTATGTCTAAAAATACACAAATGTATACGAATTTGTTTTAAACTGTCAATGCCTATATTTAGGACCTTCCCAGCAAGGCTATAATGAGACTGTGTTTGCGGGCTTCAGTCATAGCAGACTCTACCATTAATCTGAAGTTAGTTAAATTAACAGCATTTAGTACTGACTTGTCAATCTCACTGCTCCAGGAAATTGCACCTTGAGGCTACTAATATTGCCAATTTTTCCACTGGAGTATGCACCCGCGTGTGTGTGTGTGTGTGTATTTTTTTTCTCCAGAACCTCCGTGTTCATACCCCATCATTGCTTCCCTACGTCCACAGCACTTATATTATCATTTATTCTGGCCTCCTTTAGCCTTCCCGGGGGATTCTGCATAGTGTAGCTGCTCAGTGAAAGAGTTTTTTAGCTTTATATTTATTTGTTTATTTTTCTGTCATGGCTCATGACTGAGGCTTTAAAAAAAAGTGTGACAGTATTTAGAGTACATGATTGACTGCTACAGCAACATTCATTAACCATGACAAATCTGCAGCAAGACACAGTCCTGAGTGTTCTAAATAGCAACCCTCAGAAGAAAGAAGAAAGAAAGAAAGAAAAAGAAAAAAAAGACTCAACTAATTTTTCATTGACCTCATCTGTAAATAAATGTGGACTGATGGTGCGCAGGGGCAATAATAAATTAGTATTCATTTCCTGTAATTAATGCAAACATGCCTATGAGCACAGAGAATATGAATATATAACCACCTAATTTCCATTTCAAAGTACACCTAACCAATTTTCACTTAAGGCATCTTCATAGTATTTTCCCCCTTCATTAGAAGAATGAAATGGCTGGATTTCTTTCCCACCCACCAGGGGGAAATGTCGTTTTGGTCACAGAGAATGTCCAACGTGTCAGGGACAGAGCTGCAGACCTTGATTCTGACCTGTCTCATTATTTGATCCCCTACCACATGCCCATGCCGCAGCTGTCTTCCCCAGTTTGTCACGAACCATGAAGGGCTCCTCTGAAGTGACCAAGTGACCGCCTAGGCAGGCCCTCACATACATAAGAGCCACCGCAAGAACCAGCCTCCCAGCCTGACCCAGATGTGAGACGGTAGATCATTGACACACGAGTTCACTCACAGGAGGGTGAGTAGGGTAAACAATGTGATGCGAGTCAAAGACTACCACGCATTGAGTAAAACAGAAACATCAAGCTGTATAAGCGTCTCGGCAAGAGAAGCTAGGAGGACTTGCTCTCTCGGACATGGGCATCTCCAGAGACCATTCCTGGAATCGGACTGCAATCAGAGACCAGTGCCTGATCACACTCAGGCCATCCAGCCCTCAGAACTCACTAGCTTTACTGTAGCAACGGTAGAATGTTTTATTAACAATAAAGAAATTGACGAATACTAACAGAATCATGCCACTAAGACACATATGTAAAAATCTCCTTATGTCTATGAGCTTGGCAGAGAGTGATAAGAGCCAAAAGTTTGAATCAGGTTCTACCAAAAACAAATAATACCTTTGGCAGAATGCAGCTTGCCTTTTTGATCACTGTTCCTAGGGCCTTCCTGGTCCTTCAGAGCTTGTGCTCCTAAGCGTTCGTCCCCCTGAAGATCATGTAAACACATGTGTGCAGTCTGGATTAGAAGTGGTCCTAATGGGTGCTTGATAGTGGAATTCTAATGAACTCTTCTAAGCGGCTCTGTGTGGTACGCGTGACAAGAGGGCCAGAGACCATGGGACTATCTCTGAATGTGAGCGCTTTACCATTTAATCGAGTTGTAAATGTCACTGATTAGACCTTATCGTAACAAGATGTTAATAACATAGCTCCCACTTTCACCGGGCGTTTTTCAAAGCCCACAGTAGATTCTCAGCTATGTGACGTAGCATTGCCAGTGACGTAGCGTTTCCCCAGAAAGACAAAGGAGTCACCCCATTTCTTTCCCTTCAGTTGTTAGCCTGGAAGGCCGAGCAATGCACCTCAACACGCTGGTGCAGGAAGCCCAGGACAGGGTGAGTGAGCTGTCTGCTCAGGTGGAGAATGAAGGATTCAGCCTGGACAACACTGAGAAAGAGAAGCAGCTGAAAGCTTGGGAGTGGAGGTATCGACTCTACAGACGCATGAAAACAGGCTTCGAACATGCCAGTGAGTATAAGCAGAGGACTTCTGTGTTTAACTAGACCAAACCTTGGTTTGAGACAGCCAGGCCTTCTTTCACTGGGTTTTTTTTTTTTTTTTGTAACTACAGGGTCATGGATGGCCGTTGTCAGCCTGTTTGGAGCAAGGGCTGTAGGAGGCTGTAAAAGGATCTTTTGTCTTGCTTGATTTTCTGGCTCCTGATAGGTTCTCGGGCCACAGCCATGAGGCTTCAGTGCTGCTGGCCTCTTTCCACCATGTCACACTCATCTAGCACTTTCCACCCGCTATGCCCTAATGCCTAATGACCTGGATGGTCTGATGCCCTAAGTGGCTATATTTTGGGATGTGGAGGTGGAAAAATATTTGTTTGCCTATTTGTCCAGTGCCTGCTTCAAGCTCAAGTTTAAGTTGTTTTCAACTCTCCACTGCATTTTTTTCTGTAACGCTTATATGAACTGACCTTCAGTTCATACAGGCTACAGAGGACAGTCAGTCAACCCATGAATTGCGCTTCTGTCTGCACTTCCATTCTCTTTACGAATTCTTTTTGTTAGTTTCAGAAAGCCTGGTTTCTAGATAATACTCAACTAGCCCTGGAAGGTACTGCTTTGTGCTGCCTCTGAGATTAAAAAATATATAAAATGTAAACCCTTGTGAAATATTAAACTTTTATTCCAGAAGGAGATCTTATTTAAATAACAAAAAAGTAGAAATATGTTGAATTTTTAAATATAAAGGTAAGGACAGTTCATTCGTTTGGAAATTATCTGCCTCTGCTCTAGGAACCTTAGTTGTGATAAAGATCAAAAGCAGTGGAAATCTTGGTTTCTGAAGTCATCCTGTATACCAAGTACCAAAACTAGGCCTGATCCTTTTTCTCTTGAAGCAAATAACTTAAGAAACTTTCAT